GCCGGCCGGGCGCGGGGGAGCAGGCGAGGGAAATTTGAAATCACTCGGAGCCTCCCTCCGCCCCTCCTCCGCGGCCGCCGCCTCGGGGCTCCGGGCCGCTTAAAATGGCCTTCCTGGAGCCCAGGCCCTGCGGGTATCGAGTCCCCGCACTCCGGGAAGCCTCGCCCGGCCCTCCGCGGCACCCCAGCAGAGCCGCAGTCAGATCTGGATGCCAGGCCCAGAGAGGGCCGAGCCAGGCCGCCGTCACACAGCACCTGTGGCGCCGCTTTCCTCCACCCCAGCCTCACCTGGACGCTCCGGTGTCCCCGCTGGTCCCGCTGAGGACCCGCTAGCTGGTCCTCCTTCCCCTCCCGCTAGGCCCTAGTCAGCCATCTTGAGGGGAGGGGAAAGAGGCGATCAAGTCCTGCCGCGGTTCCCGGGCCCGCCGCGTCCAGCTGCGGGAGAGGCCGTGGTTCGCTGGTTCTGTTGCCTCTGCCATCGGCGAGCACTGAACTATAGTATCGCAAATTGGCACCTCCTAATATTTATCGTACCTGGTATTTTAGTTTGATTGCTGCTTATCAGATTATCTGTCTCCACACGTTCAGCTCAGGGCAGGATCACAGCAGATGCTCAATGAATATGTGATGAATGAATGAATGAGTGAATGGACGAATGAGTGATGCAAGGCACCTATAGGCCCTGCATGAGTGGACCTGGCCTCCCTTTTAAGGCATCTCAGCCGGGCGTGGCGGCGCAAGCCTGTAATCCCAGCACTCCGGATGCTGAGGCAGGAGAATCGTTGTGACTTCGAGACCAGCCTGGGCTACAAAGTGAGCTCAAGGCCAGCCTGAACTGCATAGGGAGAACCTGTCTCAAAAAGACAAAAAAAAGATATCTGCTACACTCTCCTCTCTGACTTCAACTTTACCTAATTTGCTGTTCCTCAAAAGCATTTCCCTAGGCATAGGTCTTTGGCCTCTCCACCACCTGGACATTCTTTGCCCAGATCTCTGCATGCAGTTTCTATGCATGGCCAATTTCTACACACCTATAATCCCAGCACTAGGGAGGCTGAGGCAGGAGGATTGCCAAGAGTTCAAGGCCAGCCTGGCCTGCAGACTGAAACCCTGTGTCAGGTTAAGAATTCTCTCAGAAGGTTCCTTTCAGGAGAGGCTTTCTCTGGACTACTCCCCTAGGCACTCTCCACCACCTCCGCTCTTTTTTATTCTGTTCAAGTAGCACTTCAAGCACACACACACACACACACACAGAGGAACGCACTGTAAAGTTTCCTCCAGGAAGCAGAAACCACATCTGTCTATCTTGGTCCAAGATGTGTCTTCAGTAGGGAAGGGGGGCGGGGGCACGGCAAAAAGAGCTCGATATAAATTTATTGAATGAATGTATGAACACAGGTTTCCTGCCTCTAGAGCTCCTGCTCTCTGAGTTAAACACAGCTTTTTCTCTCTATCTCTTACTGGTGAGTAAGTAAATAATAAACACTTTGGTAGCCGCAAAAGTTTCTAAACTTACTGGATCTTGTTCTAAATAAGAGCACAGGGAGAAAGTCAGGCTTGGTGACGCATGCCTATAATCCTAGCACTCAGAAGGCTGAGGCAAGAGGATTGCTGAGAGCTTGAGGCCAGCCTGGGCTACCTAGTGAGTTCAAAACCAGTCTGAGATACATAGTAAAACCTGCTCTCAACAAACAAACAAGCAAACAGAGCACAAGGAGAACTAGGGATGTAGCTCAGTGGTAGAGTGCTTGCCTACCATGCACAGGCCCCGAGTTCAATCCCCAGTACCACCAAAAGGAGAAAAAAAAAAACAAAAAAAGCTCGGGGAGAGGTTAAAGACATACGCACACCTGTAATCCCAGCACTCTGGAGGCAGAAGAAGGAGGATCGTTGCAAGTTCGAGACCAGCCTGGGCTACAAAGTGAGCTCAAAGCCAGCCTGAACTGCATAGCGAGACACTGTCTCAAAAAGACAACAATAAAAAATAAAAGACATCCTAGGAAGAAATAGCCTCAACTTCACAATCCTCCTGACTCAACCTCCCAAGTGGCTGAGATGACAGGTGTGTATCACCTTGCCTGGCCAGCAGGAACTTACTGGTATTCTGGACAAACATACAAAAGTGTGTTCTGGTCACCAGTACAGGAACGAGTCCGGCGAGAGGACTGGTAGCTTAGCCTCACCATCCCTGCCATATGTTTTCTCTTTTTCCTTGAAGTGCCAGAGATGAACCCAAGATCTTCCCATGCTGCTATGTCCCCAGTTCTTTTTCTAATTTTTGCTTTCG